TATCGCTGCAGGTGCAGATGTGTGTGCACGTGTGTGTGTGTGTGTGTGTGTGTGTGTGTGTGTGTGTGTGTGTGTGTGTGTGGTGGTGTTTGTCTGTAATTTGTGGAGTCATCATTTATTAAGAAGCCTCATAAAAGAGACTGTGTGTACACAGGAAGTATTTCAGCTCACATCAACCCGGGAACTGTGGGATTGATTTATCTGGAGTCACACACACACACACACACACACACACACACACACACACACACACACACACACTCTCTCTCTCTCTCACACTTTTTACCTGTTCATCTCTGTCTTCTCCTCCTGCTTTTTTCTTTTCTGTCTTTCATTTTAAATGAAACCAGTGAACCTGTTTCATCTTCCCTCTTCATCCTTACACTGTTTCCTCTCCTCTCCCACTCTCTCCTTCCATTCACTTTTTTTCTCTCTTTCCATTAAAAGTAGGTCATTCTGCAACATCGAACTGCAGCTCCTACCAAGCGTGACATCCACATACACACACGTATCGCCTGGCAACCATGCCTTCACACTGCACCCTCTCCATCCTCCATCCTACTTCCCTCCATCTTACCTTCCCTGGAGGATGTGCTCGGTGCAGAGGACAAGGTTTGCAATCTGACACTGCTTTGTTTTGTCCCTGCTCGTCTTCCGGGGGGGGGGGGTTAATTAGGCAGGGCTTTGTACAGGATGAGGGTTAAATTCACACATACACACATGATGCCTGTAGATGTACAATGAAAGAGCCCAAGAACAGTCCACAACCTCGAATCTAATCTAAACACCGCTGCTGCCAAGGTTCTAAACCATCTGTGCTACGAGGTTAAACTTTGATGATATGATCAATGGCTGATATTGTGGCAAATTACAATAACTCTAACATCATTGTGTCAACTGATTCTACAGGACAAAAAGTATTTAGAATTTAGTGTTGAACACATCTCAAAGTGGAAAAGTCTCAGTAGCAGCAGTTAAAATTTATTCTTGACCAAAGACATGAAACAGAAGAAGCGACATAAGCAAAATGAAAGAAACAAAAAAAACGGAACAGACTGAAAGAAACTAAACAAAAAAAATTGAAATGAAAAGAAAGAAAAGAAATGAAACAGAACTGAAACTAAACAAAAATAAAACAAACAAAAATGAAACTGAACAGAATGAAAGAAAAGAAAAGAAAAGAAATGAAAAAAGAAACAGAAGAAAACGAAATAAAGGAGACATTGCACATCATGGTCTTCCTCAGCAGATATATTTTGATAGAGGATTCTGGTTTTGTGGTTGTACTCCTTATGGATATTTATTCTTCATTCTGAGGAAGACAATGACATACATCTGAAAGCTCCAGAAAAAGTTAGTAAGAGAAACTTGAGTTAATCATTTAGGAACTATTTAACTGTACAACTATAAAACAACATACTGTATATAGTTTTCCATACACTCTCTGGCCACCTCATTAGATACATCTGTTCACAATGTAATGACAGTGTCTCTGAGATGTTAGTTCAGTTCTTTTTGCAGTGAGGTGAGTGACTCTGTTCAGTGTGATGTAACCCAGTACAAGGTTAACTTCAGTAATAAACATATGATTGAATTAAAACTGAGCCTTATCAACTTCCTCATTTATGACAGAGCTGTTGCATTGATTTACATTATTCCCATAGAACAGGTAGACATATAAATATGTCTACATGACAAAGAAAGAGGAAATGTGACAAAAAGAATTTTTTTTTGTCATGTTTCCTTTTTGTTGTTGGTTCACTGATCCACAGTCAGATCCACAGTCAGCCATCATGATGTTGAACTACACTGACAGTTGGAGGACATGTTTGCTAATTGTGTGTGTTGTTGATTTGATTTGCTCTCATTTGCCCTCGTATCTCAGATTTCAGAGCCCCTCACCAGCACATAAATGCATCACAAGACAAGTCAGAGTTCATGCTTCCAGCTGGGTTACCTCACATGGATAATAGTGTCATCATATTGACTGTGATAGATTATCCAGTGTCAGAGAGTCCTGTTGTTTTTCACAAATGAACGGAGGTAAATGGTTAAAACAGATTTAACAATCAGAAAATGTCGAGTAATAAAGAACAAAATGTGTTTCAGGGTTAAATCATCAAAACAAAGACAAAACCATCTGGTACAAATAAAACAAATAATAGTGAACATCACAGTCACAGTGATTCTGTGCTGGATTCACAAACACTACTCATTATGTCGTTACACACAAACATGAACCCAACACCTCCCACACTTTTCCCAATTATCCCATCAGTTCCTGAGAGCGGTAGTCACAGCAACCCCATTTAAAGACCATTTATACCAAGAAAATGATGTCACTGTCATAGAGCCATACCCCCCCACAACCTCTTTAGCATGTGAGCCGTGACCTTCTAGTGTGTGTATGAGCCTTTTCTTGCCATGTCTTCTACGTGTGTGTGTGTGTGTGTGTGTGTGTGTGTGTGTGTGTGAGTGTAATGTAATGCACTGGGTTCAAAGGTCACAGCTGGAGGGTGAAAAGGAGGTTGCACAGCTTTTTGTCGTCATAATATGATTTTGGTCCTCACAACATGAGTAATACGTGGACCATACACACACACACACACACACACAAACACACACACTTAAACACCCACACACACAGACACACATCTCAGGGACAGTCATTAGTGAATTGCTGAGTGCAAGACCTGTTATAGAACAACAGGGAATAGCAGGTGATAGACTGGACATCAAAGTGGCTAACCCCCCCCCCGCCCTCACACGCCCACACACACACACACACACACACACACACACACACACTCTTCTTAGTGCCCCATGAGGCTGGTGAAAGCAGGTCAGAGTGCTGAACTGGTACTTGATCAACATCAGTCATTTTTTATTCTCTTCACACATTCAGTATATTATTTACAACCTGTTTGGATAAATGAAGCAGAATCTGCAGGAAAACATTAGAAAATGCATTATTATAATTATTATAATTATTATTATTATTATTATTATTATTATTATTATTATTATATCACTGTCTGATTATGAAAATATAAAAAATGTGGAGTTAGTATTAAATTAAGTGCTAAAGGGCAAATTTGAAAATAAAATAAAATCGAATTCTGACTAAACATCTACATCTGACTAAAGACCAGTCCAGTGGGTCCTGAGGGCGAAGACTAAAGAGCAGATGGGCTAGCTGCTGGTCTCTGATAAACATACAGACTGTGGTTGAGTTGGTAACTAGATGTAGCTGGTCATCCATCAAAAAGCATCAAAACCCATCATAGAGAACATGAGAGAAAAGGTCAGGTGAAAATAATTAACTGCTAAAATTGTAAAACTACAAAACTCAAAGTAAAGAAATGAAAGTAAAAGTTGGCTACCTGAGTGTTTTTATGTGAGAAGCCATATGGTGATCACATTACTCACCCTATCATCACCTAATTCTTGATTAGCGTATGGCACCATTTCATATGGTGTAACCATAACATGATCACTTTGGATTTGATCTGTTTGGGTTTGAAGACGTTGTTGGGGTGCAGCATGGTCAGGCTCAGATCTTCAGCAGCTGAGACGAGATGGTAATGAGAGTCTTACTTACACACACATTACCCTCAAGTAGGGCATAATGCTACCATACCCTTTGGCAAAGCACTTAACCCAGTTAAACAGTTCTCCCCCAGATGTTCAATATGTGCCGTACTGTGCTTGGGGGGGGGGGGGGGGGGGGGGGGGGGGGGGGGGGGTGTATACTGTACAGCTGTAACACAAACTGAGTTAATGCTGCAGTCATCTGACTGAGTTAAAGCTACAATAAGCAAGTTCTGGAAATCAAGGCAACACTAACATGACACTTCCATCCCTCTCCAGCCTATGAGTCAGCATGAGCAACGTCCTCTAGCAGCTAAAGCAGAAGTGACCAGAAGTGCAGTCATGTACTGTCTTTCTCCTTCTCTGATTGGCTAGAAAGACTTTAGTCTATGTCTGCAGTGCTGCCTGGCTCAATGGGTCTAGGTCATGGAGGCCTTAGACAGCACCTCTCCACATTAACTTATGTTTAGGAGAATATTTCAACTAAAACATATTAGGAAAAGTTGCATACTTTAGCTTTAAGGATGCTGTCATAAAATCAGGAAATGTGGCTTTACTGATTTTGGACTGTTAGATTTTTCATTTCTGAGCAAATCTTTAAGACCAAGCTTATACCAACATGTAACATACAATAACAGAAGATCAATACTGACATATATGAGTACTATCATGTTATTGCACTTGTGTGTATATGGGTGAAGTGTCAGTTTTGTGTGTAGTTTGCACTGTAGCGGATGGTTTTATTGTACTGACTGAAGCGTTTTTCTCACTGAAGCTCAAACTGTGTTGGAGATACAGAGTGGGTTTGTGTGTGATTTATATTTCCATAGAGGCTTTTCCACAGTCCTGCGGGCAGACTGTGTGTTAGTGTGGGTTTCTGCATATGTGTGTGAGTGTGTGAGAGTGTGTACAGCAGCAAAGCAGCAGCAACACAGGCAAGAGGGACAAAAAGAAAGAGTGAAAGAGCATCCTGTGATCCTGAGGGCAGCGGCTGGCGCACAGACGAGCTCTTTGAAAGCACAAACACACGAGTGGAGAAACAACACTGATGCAGACAGTCCTGAGGCGTGTGTGTGTGTGTGTGTGCTGCTGTCGACTGTATCTTCTTCCTGCACTCAGGCTAACAAAGACTAATGAGCAGTCAGCACATCTGACTATAGTCTTCAGACTTCTTTTATTACATTGTCTTTCTGAAGCTACTTAGCTATAAACATATCTATTATTTACCATGTTCTGTTATCTGGTCCATTCTCCACGATCCACAACCTTTCATACACAAGTGTTTGTGTAGAGTAAATACAGCAGGTTATGGTGTGAAGCTTCCTGTTTAAACTGAATTGTACTTTGTTTGGTAAACACAATTCAAAAGGTTATAATATTGATGATTTCTTCTCTCTGTGTCTCATCAGGTCTGCTCAGTGGTCAGGACAGAGTGGGTGGACAGACAGAGGACAAGTGTCCACATCAGTGTACGTAAGTCAGTCTAGTACATTTACATCAATGCTCCACCTCAACCACAGTCCAGTCATAAACAATAATATTGAAATTGTGGAAATGTGTCAATATTAGATTTTTCTTTTCTGTTAACGTGTACCTCTTGTTTTTTGGTGGGTGCGGGCAGCTGTTGCAGATGTTGGCTCTCCATTACCTGCAGTATTTATTTATGTGTGTGTGCAGTGCTCACTGCAGCCATGCCACTACTGTGGCGGAGTGCTGAGGGTAATTGTGTGTGATGGGTGGAGGGCTATTTTTGGGATGTTTATAGAGGAAGATGGGTGGTGCTGTGTTGGGGGTATATTTGGAGGTCAGAGGAATGGTTGAGAGGGCAGTTAATGTGTTAATGCCTCCAGCTCTGCCACTGACTCAAAGAGATTAAAAAAGACCAGGGTTTATATTCAGAACTTGAATTTACTCAGTTTATTGTTGCCCTCTGGATATATTCTGTATAGAATTTTTTCAGATAATGGTTGTATAAAATGCTATTATATATAATGTATAAGAGGTGTCATGTAAGGAAATGTAAAACATAAATTCATATTTAATTATGATTTTTGTCCAAAGCTGCAGCTTTCAACTAGTTTATACTGTTCACTGTTGAATATACTGATCAAACTGAATAAAACAGAACACAGAGGAAAACACAGTTTCTCAACTTCATAGACAAACATTCCCTTAAGGGTGTAAATGGTGATGTTGAGAATCTGAGGTCCAAACCACCAGCACAGATGAACTGAACTGAACTGAAGACAGAGAAGAGTTAAATAACAGTGAATCTATTACATTTGCTATTGCTACATGGCTAACGTTAGCATTAACATCTGTTTACTTATCAGTCTTACCAAGATCTTCAGCAATTCTTGCCTTTACAATACAAGAGGTTATAATATGTCCTCTGAGCATCTAGTTCTTCAGGGCAGAGTGGACGTTATAGTGACTTGGTATCGGAAAGTGACAATACAGTTCCATCAGGCTGAGGCTAGCTGGTTAGCATGCTAACTTCAGTACAAGAAAAGAAGTAATAGAAATAGAAGCAAAAGAAGAGTCAACATTGGTGTTGTAAGCAAAACTTAAATACAGCTCCTTTAATGTTCACAGTTTAGTGGATTGTTACAGCAGAGAGTAAAGGAGAGGTCATCCAAGTGATGATAGTGGACACAGGTGACAAAAAGTAGGTGATGTGTCTTTATCTAATAAATAATATCCCAAAAACCCACATCTTTGTTGCCAAGGTTGCAAATGAAAATTTCTAATTGACTCGTCCTCTTTTTGAAGAGTTGAAAGCTGCATTTGAGACGTACAGGCAGGACCAAGGAACAAGGATGAGGCAGACATCCCTGCACACACAAAGATAAAATCCTGCTGTGTTTGCAAGCATTATGGAATATGTGCACACACACACACACACACACACACACACACACACACACATACACACACACACACACACACTAAAATGCACAATGAAAATGTACATGTAAACCAGCATGATATCACCTCCTCATCACTGTCTCCTGTGTGTGTGCACCAGCACTCAGCCCCATCTAGAGAGACTCTAATGGAATCTCCCTGTGCTGGGAACAATGAAACATTTGCAGCTGGTACTAATGCTGTGTGTGTGTGTGTGTGTGTGTGTGTATGTGTTTGCACCTTCTTGGGGATGGGCATAACTGAATATGAATGCTCTTTCTTCAGGGACAAAAAGGGAAGAACAACAATGAACTTCATATAATTGCAGAAGGTTAAAGAAAAAGACAGCAATAGTAACCCATGTCTGCTGTTGTTCTCACAGAAATTCAACATTTCCAGTATATTCTGTGCCTGCAGTATGTGATCTACAGTCAAAAAACTGATCTTTTTTTTCAAATGAAACTGTAAAACCAGTTGTTATAATTGGTTCATTCCTTTCAAGTCTTTGAATCCATGGAAATAATCCTAAAATGAGCCCAAATGAAAACCCTCAGCAGCTGATTGGGCGTCAGCTGTAATAATCAAGCTTCATTCACATTAATCATGGTTTTCTTCACTGTTCATGGAGGAGGAGGAATTTTAAGTGGCCTCTCTTCATAAATATGAAACCTGTCAGGGCTGAGATAAGACACTGAGTCTGAAGATGAATTGATTTATTCTACATCTATCCTGAAAGGCCAGGAAATGTTATTTTAATCCAACAGACTTTAAAATGTCTGTAGTCTGTTAATGACTTTAATATTATTCTTTAAAGAAATAACTCTTGTCTTCACTGATGGAAGAAAGCAGATATTTAAAGAACAGTTTCATTTAGCAAATACATGCAAATTCACTGCAAGTAGGTTAATACTTGGCTCTTTCTGTGTGTGTGTGTGTGTGTATATGTGTGTCTGTGTGTGTGTGTGTTTGTGATGCTACTGTGAGCCTGAGGTTGTGAACCTCAGGCTAAGCGAAGGTAACTCTGACCTAGTTGTGTCTGTGAGGTCACCTTGTGTCCCAGCATGAGCAAACCAAACTGTGTAAGCTAGGTCAACTAAAAATGTGAAACAACCTGCAGCTGAGTACTACAGAGTTAGAGGAGCCAAACCAAACCGAACCAGACTACTCAGACACTCAGTGGTGATCCTAGATGCAAGAGTTTGCCATTTCTCACCTAGTTTGACATCATTTATTTATGCTCTGGTCCTGTTGGTGACGTGGTTGGTCGCTCCCTAAAAATGAAATAGTTAAATAAGTAAGAAGGGAAGCTGCCCTGTGAAGGTTCATAAGGAGAAGCCTCAGTCTGTCTGTTGCCAGCTTTCTCTGTGTAAAGTATAAATCTTAAAGCTTCTATCACAGTCAATAAATCAAAAGGTCCTGTCCACATTTCAGATCTCTCACCTCAATCTTCCCATAACTCCCACAATCCCTTCAAATCTCCAGCAAACTGAACTAAATTCAGCTTCACTGACCCGCTGTTGTTTTCATATCTGTGCTGTGAAACCTCACCTAAAACTGAGCATAGTAAAAGTCAACATGGTGTGATTATTTACAGTCTAAGCCTCAGTTTAGCTTTATCTATGTAAGTGTTGTGTATAAACTGACCCTGAACTGATATAAAGTCAGGTTCTAGATTAGTGTTGTACTGACTGTGTTTATCCGAGCTAGTTCTAATATTGTGTTCCACTCTTATATGTTACTGACAGTGGGAATAATAATAGTATAAGCTCCTCTCATTGAACCAGATCCATGACAACACAGGCTTTTGTGTAGTATGTGACGTTCACTGACCCTTTTTTCTCGTCTCAGTGTCTCAGAGTCTCAGCCTCAGTGTCTCAGAGTCTCAGTGTCTCAGAGTCTCAGCCTCAATGTCTCAGAGTCTCAGTGTCTCAGAGTCTCAGCCTCAGTGTCTCAGTGTCTCAGCCTCAGTGTCTCAGAGTCTCAGCCTCAGTGTCTCAGCCTCAGTGTCTCAGAGTCTCAGCCTCAGTGTCTCAGTGTCTCAGCCTCAGTGTCTCAGCCTCAGTGTCTCAGAGTCTCAGCCTCAGTGTCTCAGTGTCTCAGCTTCAGTGTCTCAGCCTCAGTGTCTCAGTGTCTCAGTGTCTCAGCCTCAGTGTCTCAGCCTCAGCGTCTCAGTGTGAGCTCTCATGTACTGCAGGTTGTTGAGGCCTCCACACGTGGAGAGAAGTTCTGACCTATTTCAGAGCTTTCACTGCTCTTCACTGGTGATCTACTTCTGTCTCTCTCTCTTTCTCCCTCCCTCCCTATTTCCTTCTCTCTCCCTCCCTCTCTCTCACTCTCTCCCTCCTCCCTCTCTCACTCTCTCTCTCTCCCTCTCCCTCTCCCTCTCTCTCTCTCCCTCTCCCTCTCACTCTCCCCGCCTCTCGCTCTCTCTCTCTCTCTCTCTCTCTCTGTCCCTCCCTCTCTCTATCTCTGCAATTTAAATCAGGTTTCTCTCTAAAGGCTTATATTGGACTGAGTGGCATGCTCCTCTTCTTATCTCTTCTACAGTTCCTTTTCTCTTGTGTGTGTGTGTGTGTGTGTGTGTGTGTGATTGGCTCCTCATTCGGCCCATGCAGAGATCTCAGCTCCCCAGGGGCAGATTAGCTGTTTAGTTGAATACAGTGGGATCGACATGCCACCAGATGGTTTCTGCATAATGTGTGTGTGGTAGGTGTTTGCAGGTTTTGGGTGATGACAACTGCCTTCAGGCCAAAAAGCTGTTGTGTTATTCCACTGCTCACAGTTTAAAGCAATCTAAACATTATCCTAATGGAAGTCCATAATGCTGCTGTGCTTCATGTCATTCATTATACAGCAGAGGTAATAAATTATAATCAGAAGAAGGTTTTTGTGTGTGTGTGTGTGTGTGTGTGTGTGTGTGTGTGTGTGTGTGTGTGTGTGTGTGTGTCCAGTGCAGTCACAGTCCTCCTCAGCAGAGCTTTGTGTTATGTCACTTTTCTCACCATCATTTTCCTGAAATGCCAACCCGCCCTGAGCACCACCAAACCCCCACCTCCACACTCCCACATAATTTTATTTTAAATTCATCCTGTTGCTGCAGCTCTGAGCAGAGTGATCCTGGTGGGGGAGGGCAGCATAGTGGGGGATAGGGATTAACAGTGGGCTGGTGGTCCTGATGTAGTTGCTAGTCCACAGACCTGGCTGCCATGTGGAGGTGGTGGGGGGTAAATTAGAACGCTCAGGCTGGTGGCTGACTGTAGAGAAACATGAATGTAGCCTCCATTTTACTGTGGTGAAAGGATATGGAGGCCTGACATGCAGGAACTGAACTTTTACTCAGGTGGTAACACAGTGTTAGTTTTGTAGTTTTAACCATGCTACTAAGGTCACATGACTTGGACTCACGTCAGACTTGTGTAATGAAAGTAAGGATCTCAGAACTGACTTGACAAAATCAAACAAGACTCAAGTTTGACCTCAGAGGTTTATAAAGTCTCACCTATTATACTGCTAATCTCACCTCATTTGTCTCTGCAGGTGTGAACTATTAAATAACTGAACATTGAAGTATTGACGCTAAGTATCCTAGCATAAAAAATTATAGTATTAGTATTTTATTTTATTTTATCTGTTATTTTATAATTAATTTTCTTGTATGTATTTTGCTAATGTTATTATAGCTTTCTAAATCTTATTTTATTGTATCTCATCATTGGCTTTCTTAAAACTCGTCAGCGGAGCAGCCAGGACGACGGCTGCTGCTCAACTGTTTCCTGTAGAGAGGGAAAAGAAAAGTGAAGAGAAACAGGATGAGAGGAAATGGTGAAAAGAGAGAAGGCAGAGAGGGTCACAGCTTTTGATATATTAATAAGACAGAGAATTAGAGTTTTGACTCAGATCTCTGGTTTTTGGTTTTGTTGGTCTTCTGCCTCATGTCTTCATTTCCTTCATCCATGGCAAAAGCTCTCTACCTCTCAAGACATCAGTCTGCATTCAATCAAATATTCAGCATCAAATGAAGAAAAACTTGTGTTTATTAAATTTGTTCAATGATGATTTGATAGAATGACATTTCCAGTTTATTCATTCACACAGAGATGAGACCTGTTAGTGTCTTGAAGATTGTGTCACTAACCAAAGAAATCTGATATTAAATGATGCAAAGACACTGGTGAGATTAGACTGATGAGCTGGTCCCAGTAATAAAGTCTCCATCCCAGTTCCTGCTCCACATTTTGACAGTCTGTGTTTTCCTGTGACTGGAGCCTGATCCACCTTAGGAATCAGAGCTCCCCTGCCTTAGTTTCCAGGCTGTTCTCTCTGGGGAGCCACAGGGACTCAGCTGTGAATGTAGGCCAGAGTCAACACACTCTCTTGTGCCAGAACACTTTTACATACTCACACACACTCTCTCTCTCTCACACACACACACACACACACACACACACACACACACACACACACACACACACACACACACACACACACACACACACTTTCTACTGTACATATACTGTACGGTCTACTGTGCTGTCTCCATCCTCACCATCTGTCTCTGCGTCTGCGCTCACAGGTCGTCGGTGCAGCTGTCAGAAGAACTGTCTAGCCAATCAGGAGAGGCGAGGGGAGAGGTGAGCCAATCAAAGGGGGAGAGATGTTGGGGCAGGATGGGCGTGCGGCCCTGACTGTCATGTCATTACTGCTGCTACTGTGGCACGAAGCAACACCAATTGAAGTCCCACAAGACGGTAAGTCAGCTGTCAATCATCACACCCACTATAATCAGTATGTTACAGCACATGTAGACACAAAAGTCACAACACAAAGTTATTGTGGTTAAAGGGTAGTTTAGGATAGGGTTATAACTGTGCTAAAAATGCTAGCATACAGCTAATTATTAGATCTATCCCATGTAGTGTCAGACTGTGTAAACCTGTGTGAACTGTGTGTTGCTGACACAGAACAGGGAAGCTGCTCCAATTTGCCTCGTCAATTTAAAAGCTGATGCTTCTTGCCTTTTAGTAAAGGGGCAGACAATTATAGAATTTAACACAAGTGAGACATGTTTTTCAAGTCCATTACATAATTTTTGTGAGTTCACAGTGAAGATACAGATAGGAAACATGGTGGAGAGAGAGGTGTCTGACAGACAACAAAGGTCCTTGGCTGGACTATGACCATCACACACCCTGACCAACACTACCTGCGATCATCTGCAAATGTTTTTGAACATTGGTCCTGATATTTATATTTATCTATATTATAAAATAGTAGATACATGTATAATAAATGTCTGAAATGAAATTTTCTTATATAGTTTTTTGCTCTCACCACATGTTAGAGGTCTGCTGATTCACCTTCTCGCTCTGGCTGCGAGTCACATTCAAACTGTGTTTCTACACTGTAGTATCACAAACATGTTAACAGAAACATCGTGTAAACATCACAAACGTTGACCTCAGATGGTTCAATCAGGGCCTTGACTTTATGTCAGTGCAGTACTGAATTGAGATCTGTTAAGTTTTTATATACAAACTTTTAACCTCTAACCTTTAACTTCTTTAACCTTATATTCATGATCTTAACATCACCAACATGTCAGCTATTAAATATTGCTGCTGGTCATTCTTTTTTATAATCAACTGAATTAACTTTTTGCTTCAAGACCTCATTCACACAATAAACCTGTTTTCATTTCAATGTAATGTAAAGAAAAATAATGCAGGTTTTAGAGCAGGTGAAACTTTAATTAGTTTTAAATTTGTAACCATGAGCGGCAGCTGGAGCTGAGTGCTGATCACATTAGTCACATTTGCCCATGAAAACAGGCTGGTTCATATCTCTGGATAACAGGGTGTCACTCTGCTTTTTTTATAAGCTCAACCTTTCAACCCTCGACTTATGATGCTCAAGTCATCTGAAGCACACACAAACACACACACACACACACACACACACACTCACACACACACACACACACACACACACTCACACACACACACACACACACACACACTCACACACACACACACACACACACACACTCACACACACACACACACACACACACACACACTGCCTAACAAAGACCATTTGGATAATACCCTTATAACCCAGTGACGTGTCCCTGATAGAGTCTCCACAGCAAGATCATCTGATTGTCAGGATTGATTTATTTCTGAAAAGGTTCATTAAAATCAGTAAGTCCTCTCTAGAAAGATCAACTCTTAGACACACAGGACAGAGAGACTCACAACTCAGGGTTGGCATTTCAGATCAGATCTCATCTCTTTGTCTTATCTGTAAAAGCAGCTTCAAAATCCACTGGTCAATCAATACATCAATCAATCAAACTTTACCAGCTGTGACAGCTTGAATTTGTGTGTGTCATATGGCCTCCCTGTATTAGCTTCCTGATATTGATTTAAAAATCTTATTGTGGACTTTAAGGTTCTACTCAACTAAGAGTTTACTGACTCCATATGAGGGTGGGTGCCATCTTGGATCAGCTGATAGTGTCCTGCTGGTTGTTTCCACGGGCTGAATGGTGACTGAAGGCTCTGGAATGATCCATAGAACCTGCTGAGAGGAGATTTGACAGATGCCTCTGCTTTTAAATCCCTTCTTTAAAGAAGTCATCTTCTCTGTGTACATTAATTTCATTTTATATAACTGTTTTATTCTTGTTTTTTCCTTTCGTTTTATACTTTAGTGAAGCACTTTGTAACGTTGTAAAAGTGTAATACTGTAGTAATACTGTAGTAACCTTTTTGCTGTGGTTCTAGGTTTGTGCCACCCCTATCCATAAAGAATTTTAGATTAATGCACACATTTAAGGTAAACACAAGAAACTTGTGCTGTAGAAAATGGACCAGACTCAGTGAATAGCTCCCTAAGCTTAACATCCTAAATCCTATGATAAGTATTAATTCAGCTATACAGACTAATGAGCAGTGATAACTAACATGTCTTTGGGGTCATCAGGTGGGAACCTCCTTTCACCAGTGTTTCGTCTAGTTGGTCCCAGGACACCTCCAGGAGGCTAGACAGTGATCACTGGCGTCCCAGAGTCACTCCCCTAATGCCAGCCATCACTGCTCCTCACACCACAACTATTTTCTCCTTTATCTTGCCTATGCTACCACAAACAACATCATCAACTCGGACAAAACACACTAGCAGATTCAGCAAACAAAAACTCCCCTAAACAGTTCTGTTCTGTTGTGTAGGACTAGATTTTTTTTCCCCCCCAGAAAGTGGCGGCCAATTTGAATGAGGGTGGTAGAGTCAGGGAGAGATGCCTTGTTGGGCTAAACTCTCCCCCGCCGGATTAGGCTGTGCTCTACCTCCCCCTACTCCCCCACCCTCCAAGACAATACAACTCACCATACAACTCACCTAAACAGTCAAAGACACACTACAAACCAATTCAAAACAATACAAACAAACAATACAGGCCAACTCACCTGGACTAACCGCATGGTCTCAAAGAGGCTCACACAGGCCACACCCCCCACTTAAAAACACTTCCTCTTCCTGGATTTTCTTCCTTGCTTCTCCTAAGAGTCTGTCTATCCTAAGTGCTCCCCCTGCTGGGCCCCCAGCTACCATTACTTCTTCTCATCCAAATCCACTGACTGGATCTTACTGCCTCATCTGACATGTCCTTTACTATTTTCCTCACACTCTGTCCACTTCCTCCTAACTCCCTCACCAAAGAGGCAACAGACCTTGCTACAAATCCTCTACATCCTACTTCCACTGGACAAATCCTAACTTTCCATCCTTGCTGCTCTGCTTCTGCCCCTTACTCTACATACCTGAGCTTTTTCCTTTCATGTGCTTCTACAACTGAAGCCTCCCACGGAACAGTCAGCTCTATGAAATATACTTTCATTCTACTCTTAGACCACAAGACTATGTCAGGCCTTAGCTTTGTACTGGCTGTTTCCTGGGGAACAACAAGCTTTCCTCCTAAATCTACCTGCATTTCCCAATCACAAGCATCCTCTAAGCTGCCTTGCCTCATTGCTGTCTCAAACAAGAAATAATGAAAAAAATATGTACATAGTACAGTAGTAATAAAGCCAATAAATTACATTAAAAAATATACGTAAGAAAATAATGATAATAATACATACAGTACAAACCTCTTCCACATTGTCTGAAATTGGTTGAAATAACATACTTCAGTGTAAACATCATTGCAGAGCTGGATTTTAAATATCTGGTCAATAAGCATCAAAATCAGAATCACAATCAGACAAAATATGTTTGTGCATCAAAGACATTTGACTCTGGTTTCTAGTAGTTCCCAGTTCAAAGAACCACATTAATTAAGGTTTTTTGATTGGGGTGTTGAGTATAAAGTGAACCTCGAAAAGCTAACAATGGATAGTGATCCATTCTTCACACGATCCCATTTTTGTATCACAAAATTATGCTTTATGACATATTAACCCCACCCCCCTCGTGGAGAACAGCTCCACATGCTCCACAGCTGATGGTTTCATTCAGGAAGAGAAAACCCATCCCCCTCTTTTCTTTATGTCTGATCTGCTTCACAGCAAACTGCTCTCCTGACCTTTATCGATGGGAGCTGTCCACACATCCCCACAGAACACACACACACACATGTTCACACACTCCATCTCTACATAATAATGTCTAAAGGGCATATGATGAAGACTGTTCTAATTCAGTGAATAGGTTGTATAGGTGACATGGATGTGTGTACATGCACACTCACATCTTACATCAAGGCTAATCTGTAACTGCTACACAAACACAAGGTCAAACTTCGTAATGTGTGTGTTAGGGCTGAACAGGTCTGAACAGGTTTGTACCAAACATGTTCCCTTATATCTTGAAAACATGAGATCGAGGAGTCTCTGTAGCACCACAATGCCTCATTTATAGAGGTTGTGACACATTTTACATGTACATACACATATTACGTATTCAGTACATACTGTATACAGGACAACACACACACAAGTAAATGAGAAAGGAGCCTCACGCTTGTATTCTGTATAGCAAAGAGCTACACAGTAAGTTTTGCTTTAAGCTTAAGCTTTTACCTTGTACTCAAGTTGAATCATTTCTTGTCATTGTAGCTTAACACGTATGTCACCTCACATACTGCAGTGTCAGATCTCTCTTTGTTCATGCTGTTGTTGTCAGTCAACACTTTATTTCAGGCTGTGATTTAACACAATAAAAGCCCATCTAATCATATTGAACATGGATTAAAGAGTGACTGGACACTGACACCAACACTACACCACAGTTACCACCTCAGACGACACTGCGCAGTCGTATATACACATGAAGCACGGACAGACCAACAAAAACTTAGAGAGATGAAATGAAATGAACTGTATCCTCTCCAGCAGTGAGCCTCAGTCCATCCAGAGAAGCTGAACTCACCAGCACTAGATCTCTAGTCTGTCTTGTGTCTGTTATTGTGAGAGGGGTCTCATAGCAGGCCTTTGAAGCTTCATGTGCTGGTCTCACAAATACAGTCACACATGTGAAGCTTTAAAAGTTTTGCTTATTATAGGTATGTGTCCTTTTGGTTACTAATTGATTGACAGAAATTAACAGTATGATGTTGTATGACAGTGTCTGATGTACAACCTAAACTCTAACATGTGTTGTCTTTCTCTTCCTTGCTGATGATGAACTCCTTACAGGTGAGTCATTGTTTCATTCTGTAGATCACAGTTCTCTCTTTCGCTTCTATAACAACTAATATAGATAACAGTGGTCCTCAACTGGTCCAGCATCAGAATCCAGATTACACATCAAGTCAAAGTCTTCGTAGATCATCCATTCTGTCAGTGAGAGCAAACCCTCTGGCTGTACGGAGACAGTGTTGTTGTACAACTGGGGTTTAAATGTCAATAAAATGAGGAAGTGATCAAAGTTGAAAAGCAGCAATGAAAGCTGGAGTAGGTAATCTGTTTCAGAAACGCTTTTTGTGATATCTCTTTAAATTCTCTTAATATCCCGATAGCAATGAATAAATGAAATGCTCTGAAAAAAACAAAGTAAATCAACCCTCTGTGTCAGTCACAGGGCTGTAAAAACTCAAGCCAATCATTGCCTTCGGCCCGGATGCAATGATTGGCTGGCCGACCTTTGCGTCAACCTCACTAGCGTGCCTGCGCGTAACATGGCTGTGCACTCGTGCTTACTGCTGCATGACCGAGCTGTTTCAGTGTCAGACAAGCGGCAGTCGCAGGTGAAGAAGACGGACAGGAATTGCAGAGAAAATTCAACCAGTTCCACCTAAGTCTTTGACTTCAGCAGCCGCTGCACTCTTAAAAGGAAGAAAAAGCAGAAAAAGCTGCAACAAAAAAAAAATTGAACAGTGCAAGGCTGAACAAGAGTCAATGCTGATGTCACTTTACAACGATGGCAACAACTGAGGAGTCAGAGGAGCTAAAAGTGATACGATGATGGCTATCTTTCTGTCAGACAGGTAATTATCTTGCTTGTTTTGTTTTGGTTAGTGGAGGGGAGGGGGTGGGGTGGGGTCTTATACTAAGGTAGATAGCTGCTTCATAAGCTGTTTCAGCTGTTTAATCATAAACCAAGGTATGTTTTATGTATTAGCCAAAGCTAATGTTAGATAAACCTGGGTGTAAGCATCATCAACTATGCTACAGACAGTGTAGCTAACTTTATGTTTACACATAATGTTGCCTTGTATGTAATCTGTGTACCCTATATGTTTGGTGATGTCTGCACTGTAGTTTTAAGCAGATGTCATTTGATAGTATTTATCTTATGTCTGTCATGGCTGCAAATGGGACTTTGTGTTTGGTGTTTTTTGAGTTGTGAGAAAGACTCCTCAACTTCCACAACTTTAAAACATGGACTGATCTGATGAGACCACCACCCCTCCACCAGAGTTTCTCTCCCACTGGTGAGTGCAACTTTATGTGATAGAAACACAGCTTAGCTCTTGGAACCTCTAAAAATTAGGTCATTGGCGACCCGTTTAGAAACTCATGCCAGTTATTCATATAAATACATCCTTCTCGGGCGTTGTGTGGTGTAGTGGTCTAAGCAGGCGCCCCCATGTGTAGAGGCTACAGTCCTCGCTGCAGTCGGCCCCGGTTAGAGTCCCGCATCGGACGGCCTTTACTGCGTGTCATTCCCCCTCTCTGCCTCCCCATTTCCTGTCTCTCTACTGTCCTGTCAAATAAAGGCATAAAAAGCCCAAAAAAAATATACTTGAAAAATATAAAAAAAAATACATCCTTCTTTTGTATATATTGATATATACTGTATACTGTATATATATATATACAGTATATATTAGAAAATATATTCTTGAATTTATTATTTGTGTACCTGTGTCAGCCAGCCACACAAAAATACGGGAACCACTGTCCATAACTGCTACATTTAATGCATTAACCAACCCTCATATAAGTACTTTATACCCATAAAACCATCTTCCCCTCAGCAAAATAACCAGAGACTTGTATTTCTATGTAGCTATAGTCCTGTGTTGTTATATGCCCTATAAAGAGATTCAGATCTAATCATCTACATGTCATTTTTGTAGAGATGATGGCTAATTGTGATATTCTTTCTATAGGACAGTCGCTGCCAAAGCAGAAGAAGATTGCCACAGTGCTCACATGATGTCACATGCAGAGCCTGACCTGTCAGCCAACACTCACCTCTGCTTATAATCAACAGTAAATATATTGTGGATGGCAATGATACATTGTGTATATATCTTATATTGTTAATAGTATTTCAGTAATGTTATACATATATTTCTGTCATAAATATACAATAAACCAGTTACATACCACATTGGATTATTATAATTTGTGTAGCATACAAAGACATACAAAATGAAACAACGTCATTGTCTATGCTGTAATTGTAAGGAAAAGGCATGTATCATTTTAAAGATTTTATTCAAAAAAGTCAGAACAGATTGTGCACATAAATAATGCAAAATAATAAAATACAAATTTAAATATTTACACAAGTAATATATAAAAAGAAAAAAATATTACTATTATAAAGGACAGCAAAATACTTGATACAGTACCAGTCAAAAGTTTGGACACACATGGAAACGCAAGATGTGATGTTCTGGTGTCCTTTTACATTTCTGGTTAATGCACCAGGTGGGGTGACCTGTAACCGGAGGGCCTGGTTGAGGAGCATCTGCTGATGTCATTTGTAACATATCAAACACCAGTCTTGGGTCACAGAGCTCAGACAGAGCTGCAGCAGGTGATGCCACTGTTCCAAGTCTAGTTCTCAAATTCTGGCCTGTGCAGCAACAGATAACAAACACAATTAGATATTATTATAGAACAGAGCTTTATTGAATTTTGTATTGGTGGTGTTGGTCAGAAAAAAACAAGAAATAATTTGCTACTATAGATACCTGCTCATCAACACCAGCTCTCCCTCTCCCACAACCTCCTCAGCCTCCCCCTCGCCTCCGAGCCCGAGCCTGGCCTCTGTGAGATATGAGACGAAATCAGAGCTAGCAATGCTCTCATCCTGGATTCTCTAACATGCAAAACAATGTAATATGTGTGACTGATAGTAAATGAAAAAACGTCCGTGAAGCTAGGTAGGTGCTACAGTTTTTTCAAAGACATGCTGCTGAAAATTCAAGGTAAAGGTTCAAAAGAAACGTTAGCTATACTAGTAGTATACCTAACTGAGTATTAGTAGCGTAGCTAACTTGTTGATGTTTCTAGCTTTGCCTGATATATAACCTTACTGCGGGTGGCTACTAGCTAGCCAGCAATAAGTTATTCCATCTAACTGTATTTCCAACAAAAAATGACCAAACATACTAGCTTGACAGCATTGAATATGAGCTACAGTCATGTTGATTGTTTATATTCATTATGGTAATCTTATATGTTGTCTTACTTGTGAATAACTCACTCCGTATTGGGATATCACAATGACAATCACAGCTACGTTCCTCTCTCTCTCTCGCTCTCTCTCTCTTGTGCATTCGAGCAGTGTGCGTTCGTGTGTTTCAGGGGAGTGGCCTTGGAGGGAAGCCTGAAGGGAGGGGGTGGGAGTTTTTTTTCATTTGGATACTTTCAAAATCTAGCTAACTCAGGCTAACATCTCCCAGATTACCTACTCCATCTTTAAACAGTAGGTACAGCTAATTCAGGCTTATTAAGAGCACTGAAACTACTGGGGGCAATATTTTTAAATATGTTAGCAACCCACTGAAAATTGACCCCACCAGTTGGGAACCACTGAACATTAACATGAAAACTGGATGAATATACATAGAACTACAGATGTTTTTATGTCTTTAATATGATTAACAATCACGTTACCATTTGTCCATCTGTCTCTTTGTCTCTCTTTGGCTTTACGTTGGACTAACAGCAAAGATCCTGCAAGACCGTAAGTGTTGATGTTTCTGTCCCAGCCACTCATTATACAACTTCTACTTTGTGACGTTGCAGTGACACAGGCAACATTACACACTTCACCACTGGATTACTCCTGTTCCATAGAGGTTAAAGGTTCTGTAATCGATTGTCATTTCCAGTAGATGTTGCTCTAGACCACGAACATCTCAGACCAAAAGCTTTGTCGCCACACCTCCCCTCCCTTCATGTTCTCAGCATGGTGTTGTGAAGCCCAGTGAATGTGTCTACTAAACACACACCAAGAAGCTCAACTGAATAAAGTTACCCTGTGAACATGAGAGCCAACAAAACGCAATCTGTGATATGCTCCACAGCAATGCTGACATCCAACTAGCATTAGCAACATTTGCTGAATACATTTATAATAAGGGTATCAGTAAGTTAGCTAATGTTATCATGTCTACTGTAGCCATCACTAATGAAAACAGATATGTAACATTATGAACCATTAAGTTACTGACACATGGAGGAGAAGAAAAACCTGCTCTGAGTCCAGCTGGACCCTGTAGCAGCTCGTAGGGTTCTCCTCTCAGTAAACAAGACCAGTATTGGCTCTACGGTCAGACTGGGATAGAAATTCAGCCTTGAACTGATCCACTGGGACCAGCTGCATCAATGACACTGATAGAACAGGTAAAGACACTGATGGAGCCTGTAAAGACACTGATGGCTCCGGTAAAGACACTGATGGGGCAGGTAAAGACACTGATGGAGCCGGTAAAGACACTGATGGGGCAGGTAAAAACACTGATGGAGCCAGTAAAGACACTGATGGGGCAGGTAAAGACACTGATGGAGCCAGTAAAGATACTGACTTTATAGATGTTTTGACCGTCCACCAGCCGACCAGGATTTGAGCCAGTACTACTCCGCCCAGTCCACCTGTGCTCTGGTCTCATCTCTTTGTTTGTTTGAGGCCTTTTTAGATGAAAACTTCTTCAGTGGAGGAAACTCTGGACGTTCACTTTCACCTGAACACTGCGTACTGCACTGTGTTGTCTCACCTGCGGGCGGAGCCTGTCTTTATAAACGAGGGGAGGACTAACAGTTTAACAGGAGACTCATGCATGTGCCACCACACTGACTACCAAAACAAAGACCAGAGAATCTCTCATATCATTACATAGAAAATAGTTTGCTGCTGTAATTTTTATTCAAATCTTGTTTACAGAACCTTAAGACACCCTGCTAGACACACATCACCCCACCAGTTTGCTTTAGGGAACACAAACTTTAATCTGGGAATTTTTTTCTACATGTTCTGCTGTACGCGCATGTGATGTTGTTGACACTGTAACTAGTCTAATGAAAGTGAATCTTGGTGAGGATGTGCAATAAGCTGATGTTCCATACCATGTCTCTCAAAGCTGGGCTTTTATCACAACCAAGCATGCTATAAAAATACTCTTATGGTTGCCATAGCAACATGAGGGATATGTATAATACAAGGCTATTTCAGTTGTGGATAAGATTAGCTGCAAGAGCTTCAGTTACAGAGGGAAACTGTTCTTTCATCTCCATACTCTGTGTTGAGCTGGAGCTTGCTCTCACAGTCCAGAGTTCCTGCTTTAATGTGGCAGGCAGCCAGTCCTATGAAGCGCCTGTTATCTTGTGTTGTGTGTGAAGTGTGTCTGTGCTCAGTGGGCCAGAAAAACGCAGAGAGATGTGGTCTGTGTGGTTTGTCTGCAGAGCTGAAGGGAGCAGTTAGATATGTGACTGAACACTGAACACAGCCGGGGACATTATGATCTGATTGTTTCTTTCATCAGGATTCAGAGCAGGTTTATATGAGGTTAATATATAAGGCTGATCATCAAGTTTCATTAAAACAAAAGAAAAAAAGATCAATCAGTGAAAAGAATACTAAATCTGGTGATATTTTTTATTTTCTTATTGTCAAAAAATCTTTAAAGACCAAAACCAATAATCAAACAAGTATCATCTGTGATTCAGAGCCTGATGTCTCTGATTTCCTCTGTTTCCAAACACTATTAAAACACATCAGTGAGACACACACATGTTCCTCCATCACCATGAACACACACACTCTAGTTTTTTTAGACTCAGTCCTACACACACTGTCCTGCTGACCCAAATAAACGCTAGAGCACCAAATGTGGATTAATCTGCCGCTGAAAATAGTCCTCAACAAATATACTATTTCCTCCTGTTTCAGTATACATACTGTATCGATAGATAGATAGATAGATAGATAGATAGATAGATAGATAGATAGATAGATAGATAGATAGATAGATAGATAGACATTTTTGACTTTTAATAGGATTTATTGACAATAAGATGAGAAGAAGAATATGTATAGATATATAATAACAGCAGGTTTATTCTTTAAAGCTTTGGAGCCTTTTCCATGACACAGAGAGAATTCAGGGGAAATTCCTGAATATGAAGTAGATTTTTAGGTTAAATTACATTGTTGATCATATTCAGCAGCTGGTTCTAATCACAAAAGGTATATTGGTAAAAGTCCAACGGATCAGGAAACACAAGCAGTGTATCCAGATTACATCTAAACCACTTTATCCTGAGATCAAACTCATTGCACAGAAAATGGTCTGTAAACTGACGGATGTCTAGGGATGCTTTGTGTCTCTCTTGTATATTGTATATATTAGCTATCAGCTAAATCTGGCACAATTTATTGATTAATGTTTTTACATGGTCCTTGATAAATAAGTATAATAAACTAAACTAAACTTAACTGAACTTTAGATCTATTTGTCACCATGCTCATGAGACCTGAGCATGGTGTACTACATTAACAATAATGTTAATGCAAATAACATGTAGGCTACAGTAGACCAACTGTTCAAAGCTAAAATAACCAGTTAAAGTAGAGGAATGTCCCGACCAAATGTATTTTAATAGTTGACAACCAGTTTTACCAGTTAAACACTTTCGTTCCTTCTTCCCCTTTGTTGTCTCTTCATTGAGTTTGATCAGTTTATTGATCTTTAAACTCTAATCATAAAACATTGAAACAGCAGTGTATGTGTGTGTGTGTGTGTGAATGTGTGTTCATTATCTGTACACAACCTCATCTCTGTAACCTCTTCTTTGTCTCCCCCCTCCCCCCACAGTGAAGCAGCCCCCCACCATTGTCAAACAGTCAGTGAAGGACTACATTGTCGACCCCAGAGATAACATCATCATCGAGTGTGAGGCCAAGGGCAACCCAGTGCCAACGTAAGCAGTACACACACACACACACACACACACACACACACACACACACACACACACACACAATATGCGTACAATTGACTTATCTGTTTTCTGCTCATTACATGGAGCTTTAAGGGGAAAAAAGGATGATACATTTCATGCATAAAAGTCGGAATCAATGCTGAAACATCAAGTTTTAAACTTTTACTTCTACATTTCCTGTAGTGCAGCTCATCTTTCTTTACTGCACCTGCCTGAGAAATTCAACCTTTCAAACAGCAACGGGATTATTTTCACAGACTGAGCTGTAAACTGACCTTTATGTGTACATTAGGTGGTGAGCACCTTTAATGGACATTAACTCGTGACAGTTGAAAAAGTTGACGAAATAGAAAATCTTGACACTGAATAAAGTTTGAAGACTGTTGCAGGTGATTCAGACAGCAGCTGAAAAGCTCACAGTCAGACTGATGTGAGTGACAGGCTGCAGACTGCGGAATCAGGGAAATGCAGCACAGCTGAGGACAAAGAGGTCTAGAGAAGATTCAAAAGATGACACATTTGTCTTCCTTACTCTATCCACTCAGTCCCATTGTCTATCTGTGTTTCTGACTGTCCTCTGCTACCCCCCCACCCCCCGCTCTGTCTGTCCTCAGTGTGTCTTGCCCCCCAAGCCCCCCCCCGTATGTCTGTGACAGTGACAGTTGTGAGGAGTGACAGTGCCACTCAGATGTGCTCTCCTGCCACTCTGCCCTACTCTGTCTGTCTCTCTCTCGGCCACAGTAATACATTTTCATCTGAGCCACCCTCCCTCTGTCACTGACCCCCCTTCCTGTTCAGATGAACGGTGTCTTGCCCCAAAGCTCCTCTGCTGCCCTCTAACAAACCTATAAACTCAGTGTGACACCTGTCCACCTCCCCTCCACAGCATCAGCTTGACAAGTGGTCTGCTGTGCTTTTGACAGCTCTCTCTCTCTGCTACCCCCCATGTTGTCCCTCCATTAGGCACGGAGGCTTTATTTATACAGCGCCTTTCACACACAGACACAAAGTGTTAAACATGAGTAAAAAGCATTGAATAAGCAATAAAAGCCAGAAATACATCAGTGGAGAAAGAATAACATGAGGTTTTTCAGAAATAGTCGTGATTAGGAAGTTGGTTCCATCTGTGTGCAGCAGCAGCTGAAGTGAGCTTCACCCTGGTAGGTTCTACCAGCTGACTGCTTCCTAAAGGTCTAAAATCCATACTGGTTTCATATTCTTCATGAGGATTATAAATGTATTTTGGCCCACTGTCATTGAGTGATTTATAACCCAGCAGGTAACTGGTGACCAGTGTAAATATTTAAGAACAGGAGCCAGTTTCACACAGATATCTCAGACTGGTCTGTAGTGTTGGTCCAGATCCGCTTAAGATAGTCAAGAACTGAAGTGCTTTGTGCAACAGATGAATTTAGACTCAGTCTGTCTGAAGTCTGACTGTTTGTTGTATCAAAGACACAGTCAAAGTCTGTCTCTGTGAGCTAGGTGAGTTTGGAGAGGAGGATTTCTGGGATGATGCTGCTGGTGTGAATCTCTGTGAAATGATCTGTAACAGTAGTTAATTCATATTTATGTTTTGTCCTTACAATTTAACATTTTTGACATTTTGATTTTTATTAAATGTGTTTTTTGTTCTATAATGAGCAAGAAATGATTCAAAGTTAGTTAATTTATCATGACCTAGCAGAGTACTGTGCACAGTATTTTCACATCTGTCCTGAGGAGGTTGGGCAGATGTGGTTAATGTTGTTTTTTTTTCCAATCCAAACATTTGCATTTCCACTGTCAGTGAAACCCATGAATCAGCTGGTGGATTATTCTACACCTTCAGTTTCTGTTCCTCTCTATCTTCTGTATGTCTCTCCCTCTCATCTTCCTTATCTTCCTCATTCACATTCACAGTTTTTTCCTCCTCCTCTTCTTCCTCCTTTTGTCTTCTATTCTCCTCACACAAACCTGCTGTGATTTACACATCAATTATACACATCAAAATATTCACATAATTCACACTTAGGAGCAGGCTCACATGCACAAACACACACACACACACACACACACACACGCACACACACACACACACACACTGGTTCTCCAGTGGTTACATCAGTGGGCGTATGACCAGCTCAGGACAGTGGTACATTGTTTATTTGGAGACAGATTGGCTTTACGTAAGACACATACACACATGCACATACAGATACACACGCACGCTCACCCAGATTCTTGTACACACACAGACACACAACCACACAATAAGGCACTCACAGCCAGTCTCCCATGCACACATCCTGGCTCTCCTCTTCCCAGGACAGGCATTGTGCTCCAGTAATGCACTCAGTTGACTATTCATGCTCATGAAACATTCAGCGAAAGGGATCGTTCACTTATTCACTCACAATCAGCCTGTCACTACGACACACACACCACAACGCAGCCCTGGTCTCCTGCGCTTCAACAGAGGCCCTTTGTTTAGTCTGAGAGCTGAGCCTCGAACCAGATCTGCTGGAACCGACCTAAAACTGACAGGAAGCATCTTCAGAGACTCCTTGCTCCGCACTAAAAATAGAGGTGGATTATGTAAGACAGTGAGTGTTTGTCACTAATCAGGGAGTGCCACATGGCTCAGGATTAAGCTGCAGCACTGTAACATGCAGAGCGTGTAGTTTGCTGGATTTTTCATGTTGCTGTCATGTGCCAGTTCAATGATAGAAGATGGCAACCACATGACAAGCAAATATGGTTCATATTTTCCAGTTGCTGAAACAATTAAGAGTTCATATGAACACGGTGATGGTGCAGCTCGCCATGCTTCTCTCGCCATAAGTGTCTTCTCTTAAGCAAGTGTTCCCTTATGAATAAGCCCATCAACATGAACCCACGTGTATTTTGTGCTGTGGTTTCTGTTTGGTTATAAAGAAAGTCAGTTTGCAGAGACTGGAAGTTTTAAATCCTCAAACAGGGTCTCAAATGCATGAACAAATAAAACCTGGTCGCCAAGAAAACACAGTCGGAGCAGAGGAATCACCTGCATGCTAACGGCTCACAGTGTAATGATGATGTACGTTTCCACAGCACCATGTCATTAGTAGTTATGTCATGCTTTGGACTCAAGGATGAACTGATTAGATTTTTGTAGTCAAAGGTCAAAGGTCAGTGTGACCTCACAAAATATTTTGAAGCCATTACTCAACAATTATGACCAAATTTCACACAAATGGTTGATATTTTCTATGACTCTGGATAAACAGGAGGTAACCTGGAACTAGTCTGAGTGGAGGAGGCAGACAACCACCAGGAGGTGACTCTAGTGTCTTTCACTAATTCATTCCAGTCACTTTACTGAAGATAAAGCATTTCCTGCAGATGTTGCAAATTAAAATCCTTCCAGGAATGGGAGGGCCTAAGCTGCTGGAGGCTTTTAATGTGAAATGAGTTTCACCGACAGAAGCTTAACAGTGTTTGGAAAATGGCAAAACAGAAGTGGCAGAAGAGAAAAAGTATGTTTCTGGAGAACAAAGAGAAGCACAGCAGTGAGAGAGGGGAGTATGACATGACTCTGACAACAGGGAGAGGTCAGGAAACAGGGAAGTAAAACATGATGGGATATACCTAAAACAAATACATAAAAACAATTTAAAATACAATCAATTGATAAATGAATGTTTTCAAACATTTCCCTGCTAGAGTAAAATCAAGTACAGTGGATATGATAAGTGTACAGTGGCCCTGAGAGCTCAACACAATGCAACTTAAGAAACCCGGCTGGGACGCACTTGTTCAGTGCTTTGTGACTTTTGAAGTTAAAAACATTGAACAAGTGCACATGGATGTATCATAATACATGTGTTATAATACATCCATGCAGGTCCTAGAGAGGTCTGTCACTTTTTAGTGTCCCCTGGAAACACTTGTGTTGTGTTGTCAGTATTTGCAGCATGTGTCCTGTGACTACAGAAGAAGACTGACCCTCACCCTTCAGTTCCAGGGAACCACAGAGTTCTAATGGCAGCTCTTTGGCTCTTTGTTCTCTTGCTCAGGTTCTCATGGCGAAGGAACGGCAAGTTTTTCAACATCGGGAAAGATCCCAGGGTGACGATGCGGAAACGATCAGGAACCCTGGAGATCGGTTTCCGTAGTGGAGGACGACCAGAGGACTACGAAGGAGAATACCAATGTTTCGCCAGCAATGACTTTGGAGTCGCTCTGTCCAACAAAATCCTGCTCCGGGTCTCCAGTAAGAACACATACACACAAACACACACACACACACACACACACACACACACACACACACACAAACACGTTACACATGTTACACAACACACAAGAAAGACAGGAGAGGAAAAAGTTTCAAAATTTTCAACATATTTTCTTACGTGTTTGTTGAAGGAAATGGTCTAAATTTTACTAATTCTACAGTACTGAACACAGGACATGTGACCAATCAGCTGTAAAGAACAATAATGACCAGCTGTTCCCTCCTCTCCATCCTCCAGAGGCTCCTCTGTGGCCAAAGGAGGTGCTAGAGCCTGTGGTGGTGATGGAAGGCTCCCCAATGGTTCTACCCTGCAACCCCCCACCAGGCCTTCCTCCCCCGTTCACCTTCTGGATGAGCAGCTGTAAGTTACACTAAAAAATATACAAACGAACACACTGAGTTATGTTTCTCCATCAGTCTTCCTAATGGAGTGTGTGTGTCCTGCTGACTTTCTCTACACTGTCAGGTGCAGTTTTATATTGAGCAAATTTGATATTTATTGGTTTTAACATCAAGAGCTGAATTATGACCCATTTTGTGAATATAACTTTGTTTTAAGGGAATTTGTCTCTTAAAACTGAGCAGCTGCAGAATGACTGCATCACTCTTGGGGATGATGTGTGTATGTTGGGTTTTAACACAATCACCTCAAGTCAGTCAGCATCAACCACAGACAAACAGTCCAGGTGCTGAGAGGACCCTTTACATTCAGATCATCTGCAGATCTTTTCCTCTTGCTCTGTTTCCACCAGGAGAGGAATTTAATACATAGGATGTTTATAGATTCTGGTAAATTGATACATATGATGCATCTTAATTGGTACATGATAACGGACTGCATCTTAAAAAATGTCCGTTTTATTTATATTAAAATCTCAATAATGATGAGTTTCATGTCATTTGTGTTATTTTCTTTTTTTATCCTCATCAGGAAGTCAAGTTATTTATTTAGGCATCAAATCACTCAATGGCCTTTCTGCCCTAAAAGTTTTTGTCACTGGAGGCCAAATGGCCTCGCCCCTAAAATGATGAAATTCCTTTCCTGTTGCCTCCCTGGCAAAAGAAGCCTCTCTCCTCTGCACTGTTTTGTCGTTCTCCCATGAAAGTAATGCTGCAGTCGTGCTAAGCCAGTGTGTGTGTGTGTGTGTGTGTGTGTGTGTGTGTGTGCTGCATAGATCTGCAGAGGCAGACCTCATGTCCAGCCAGATGCCATTTTACAGCCACAGACAGAAACTTTAAAAGACACTTTAGTTATATAAAACTGATTAAAACTTTCCCTCTCAGTTACTGTATAGAATATCAACATAATCCTTCTGCATCACTTCCCCCACTCAGTGAACAGCCTGCGTGACACACACACACAGTCATGTGTGCTCAGATCAACTACAGTACACCATATTAGCTTGTCATATAGCCCAGACACTGTAACATGGCAACGCGTGATGAGGACTGCTGGCCGGCTGCTGATTGGTCCTGGGGCACTGCTGACCACCATAAGGCTCACATCAGTTTGTGCAGTCACAGAGTGTGTGAGGATCTGTCTGGACATCCATGTGGGTTTAACTGCACGTTATCATTACAGCCTGTCACTGTAGGAGGACACATGAGCTAACATGCTAACAGCTGTATGTGTAAATATACAGTCTTCAAGCTAATGGTTGGGATTAACGGGATTTTAATCATATATTTTAGCCTGTGATAGGAGATGTGAGAGTTCAGTTGTTTGTGCTGTGTCTCAGACCACAACATGTCAGCCAGCTAAAGTCAAGATACAGTACACCATCACTGTGTGTGGTTGGAATCACAGATATGTATAATCAATACAGGAAAACCTGGTCACCTGCTTACTGATGCAATTGTCCAATAAGCCAATCATGTGGCAGCAGTGCAATGCATAAAATCCAAAGGAAGGAAGTACTCAGTATTAGTATAGTGTTCCTAATAAAAAAACACTGAAGCAATTTAGTCTTGTACTAAACTAACTGACAGATTCAAAAAGATCAAACTCAAAGAGGGAGAGGTGAGAGGTATCCTGACTGCTAGATCCTACTCAAACACTGGGTCCTCCTCCCTGCCCCCCCCCTCCTCCCTGTCCCTCTCTCTCTCCTCCTCTCTCCTCCTCCCTGCCCCCCTCTCTCTCCTCCTCTCTCCTCCTCCCTGTCCTCCTCTCTGCCCCCCTCTCTCCTCTCTCCTCCCCTCAAATCCTCTCTGTCCTTCCTGTCTTCCAGATATGATGCCAATCCGTCAGGATAAGAGAGTATCCATGGGTTTGAATGGAGACCTGTACTTCTCCAACGTTATTGCTCAAGATGCTCAAACAGACTATAGCTGCAGCGCTCGCTTCCTCTTCACACACACCATCCAGCAGAAGAACCCCTTCACACTCAAAGTCCAGAACAGTGAGTAGACAACACGCACACACACACACACACACACACACACACACACACACACACACACACACACACACACACACACAACACACACACACACACACACACACACACACACACACACACTTCCTGAAATATTGATGAGTGAATGTAGTCATTTTTTAGACATTGAGCAGTGACTGCTGTAACCGTGTAAGAACTCTGGTCCAGTTCTCCATCTAGAGGTAAAGTAATGACATGACATAAGCTGCATGAAATCTCAGATGTTTCCTCAGGTTGCTTCAGAAAAGTCAAGATTCTCTTGATATAATGTGAAATCTTTTCTTTCAGCTGCTGATGTACCTTCAACACCACCATCATGCTCTGTGTATATGTCTGTGTGTGGACTGATGAGCCACTGTGTGTGCCTGTGTTTTCAGGGGAGCCATATAATGACACATCTTACAATGCCTCTGACTCCTATGGTGGTGAGTCACTTCCTGTCAGGACAGCTCTACTTCCTGTCCACCTGCTAGAGACACTAACCTGCTGAACACATCCACTGACCTCAGACTGATGTCGGACACTAATCTATTTTCCTAAACGGTGCACATCTGTGAGAATGGAGTGTTGTGTTTCTTTTAAAGCTCCATCTAGTCTGAAGGTAGATGTCCATGTGTTCTTTGATTATAAAGCAGGTCTAGGTGTTATATTAATACACTAAAGGAAACCAAATCCAGCAAGGTTAGATGGTGGGTCCAGGTGGGCGGGGCTTGGGGCATGGCTGAGAGTGGTGACTGCTTTGTTGTGACATCACAAAGTCATACAACAAGTCCTGACGGCTGGTTTTAAGGCTCAGTTTCTGAATACAGGCTATGTGCATTTATCTGTGGACCGAGGCTTTGATACTTTCATAGTATTAATATAGAAGCTAGACCTGAGCTTTAAACTACTGTAAATATCAAGATTAGTATCTGAAGAATGGACTTTCAGGACTTTTCAGAGGTATTGAGTAATTTCATGATCTAAACATTGTCCATATTTTTACTGAACCTTGCCACAGTAGACGTGGTGAGATATAGTCTGACCCTGGTTTACACTGTTACTTTATGCTGGAAACAGACAAGCTTCAGGTATTTCTGTATTTCAGTAAGTCTCCATGTAGTATGTTGTTTGTTGTTTGATTGTTAAATTTGGCTGTTCCTTTGTTTGCTTTTTGAAACTCCTGATATGAGTGACAACAACAATTCAATAGCTATTTATTCCTATGGAATAAAAAATGTTGCAACAGAATCAAATCTCTCCTAATCAATCAGTGTAGTGTGAGTCAGCTGATTATTACACATGGAGTCAATCAGATGTGACATATATCAAGGATGACCAACAGGTCCACATGTGACTTCTAATAAAAGACCAATAAGCATCTCTCTGACCCAACATACACTCACACAGTAGAAATACATGTTCATTCCACCTCATTCAGTGTTAAATGATCACATGGAATGAATAAACATATTGTAATTAACACACAGATTAACCTCAATTCAAGTCTCCTGCAAATAGAGAATTGAGTGAGCCCACAGCTGCAGGGGACAGATCAGCTAAAGTGGCAGCATATGCTGCAGTGGTAGATGGGATACATCCCTGAGGGAGAGGATGCACTCTGTCACAGACCAGGCCTGAGGCCCAGAGGGACTGAGGATCCTGCTGAGGAGGATTAGGTCACATGATGAATATTCAGTCAGGATTCATGCTATGATCATTAATAGTCATATATGTATGGAAATAAGATTCATTTCTGTGAGTGTGGTGAAGTGATGGGGACAGCTGTCGAGACGTTCACACACCGCCACTCCAACACACACGCTCGCTTTGCTACTAATCTCCTCTGAGCACACACGCAAGCAAAGACCACAGTTCTGTCTTTTTTGTGGGTGGGAGGGGGTCGAACCCTCCGCTGCTGCATCACCAGCTGTCTGCCATGTTTCCATGGTGCTCACTGCGTCGCTGTAGCTACCCACTATAATGACTGTGTACCTCATAATTCTTCTACATGTTTCTTCCTCTTGTTGTTTTTCTTCTCACTAACAACAACAGATCCTCCTCACCCACTCCTGTCTGTCTGCTGGCCGCTGGAGAAGCTAACTGCTAACAGATGCTTTAATCCCACACAGATCTGCATCACAAAGGAGGCTAATGCTAATTTAATCCCACATACTTCTCTGCAGGCTGCAGCTCTCCGCTCACTGGAGCTGTGGTGTCCACAGCATTAATGGAGCAGACTGGAAATGTGATGTCTAAGTAACGATCAAAGGAAAATTAGTCTGTATAATTATGAGCAGCATTTTTTTTTTTTTATTGTTTCAGTCAGTGGTGCACGTTGCAAACAATAACTAGTTATCAGACAAGTATCAGTGACAGTGCTGCACAGAGTCTGCACTGCTGTGTTAAAGGACTTAAACTTTAACTTTATTACAACTTGTAACAGATTTTTATATTGGTGTCTGTTGCTTATGACAACACTTTATTCACCAAAGTAGCTAATGAGTTTGCAGAACATGGTGACACCAGGTCATGGAAGCAACACAAGAAGTCAGTGGTCCTGTTCAGATCTGGTATTTACATGCGTCTCAGGTGATCTTGTCACCAGTGGTCAGCTCTAAGTTCAGGTGTGAATGCACCCGAGACGCATCTGAGATCTGATCACTTCTTTTAGCAGTGTGAACATGAATTTGTCCTGAGTCACATTGAACGACTCTACTGACATACCCTGGCACAGCCTGATTAGTCCCACCACAGTTTATAATGAACCAAAGATATTTTACTATTTCAAATAGATAAAAGTATATTTAATTATAGCTGGGAGCCGAGCATTGACTTGCTCAACTCCTCCTTGCCTCTCTCTCGCTCTCTCACACACACATTCATACACAAACACAAACTCTGACAACAGACCCATCTGTCAGATTGGCTAAAAACTAAAACACAAACCTATTTGCAGAGCGGGAAGTGAGACCTGATCAGAAGTATGATAATGTTCAGTCAGGTTAACTATAACCCAAAATTCCATCTGTCACACACATTTAACATCCTCACAACTCCCACAGTACTTACAGAGTGGCATTCACACTTTCAGTTTGACTTACAAGTACAATGGTTTGGATAGTCTGGATACACCAATCTGGCTACTTGTGTTTCTTCCCTTGTCTGACTTCTTTCTACCAATATTACTGTGCCCAGATCTGAGAAATGACTTGACAACCAGGTTACGATAATGATAATATGTTGTCATTATCATAACTGATAAAAAATATGAGCAAAACTACAGGAATCATATCCAAGTTGTAATAAAATGGAATTATCCTTTAAACCAGGCAGTTTAAGACTCAACCTTGAATTCTTCGAAGGTGCTGAAAAACAATGAATTACATCTGGATGACTTGTAAGTGAGTTTGCTGACAGTGAAAGCTGCCAGTGCAGACACAGTGCACAGGGTTTACAGGTTCAAATGTGAACTGTTTTGTATGAGTGAAGTTGTTCAGGAATCGCAGGTTAAGTTGAAGCAGTTGAATGGAAACAGTGAAAAGTGTCTGTTGAAGTGTAAGAGCTAAGAGAAGTTTAAGCTCTGCTGTATGCAAACGGTGAAAGCAGGAGAACTAACCAGGTCAAACCTGAACAATACTGTGTCTGAATGAAAATGCACCAAAATGAAAGTAACATAATATTTGATTGTAAGAGGAGGTGTTTGAGTCTTGTCAGGCCTGATGAACACACAGTTTATCTGGCTGTTTGATTCATTTATGCTCAAATGTTCATGTTCTGCTTTTGTTCTTCCGACCAGCTGAAGCTAAAGTAACAAAATGTGCTTCTAGCTCTGTGTCACCGCTCCTCCTTCATCATGGTGTGATGTGTGTGGATTATAAAAGGCCTCAAAGTCTGAAAACCAAGGGTCTGGTCAAAAGGGTCCATGTTGCTACTGAGGCTTAATGCTGTAGCCAAGTCCTGTGGGGATGTTTAACATGGGGCTGAAGACTAATGCATCAACTCCGTGACCCCGCACAAATTTGAGTTTGATGTTAAAGTAATTTCATTACAGCAGAGAGTCTGGGCATGTCCTATCAGCTACTTTATTTAAGCTTTTAATGGCCGTCCTCTCCATCTCTGCTCCTCAGGCAAACATAAAGCAAGATCAATCACCCTGCTGTTATTTCTGCATCTCTTAATGTCTCCCTGTGAGAGAAGCCAGAGAGCGTTAGACAGGTTTACAGGATGTTTGGCCTCACTACAGACTGCAGAGAGAGCCAGAGGCTGGAGCAGACGAAGCTCAGCCACAGGGAAATTACCAAATAACCAGAGTAATACTGTTAGATTTGTATATGGCAGGGCCCACAGAGAGGACACGTAGGAAGTGAGTCATGCTAGAAAGATAAACTATAGTGCTGTTGGATTAGATTGAATGTGTTTGTGTATACTGCCCCCCCCCCCCCACCCCCTTCATTGGCAGGCCGTAAAGTAGCTGAGACCACGCCAACCTTCCTCTCACCATCAGGCAGTGAGAGCTCCAAAATGGTGCTACGAGATGAGAGACTGCTGCTGGAGTGTATCGCTGCTGGACTGTGAGTTCACACACACACACACACACACACACACACACACACAAACAGCTGTAAGATGTCCCTGGGATAAGGAGGACTGAGATGTGGAGAATAGATCTTCTCAGTTTTCTGTTTACACCGAACCCATGTTTGTCCCTCCTACCCCACCAGACCGACGCCTACCATCAAGTGGTTTAAGAAGGGCGGGGACCTGCCAGGGCAGAAAATGAAGTTTGAGAACTTCAACAAGACCCTGAAGATTGTCAGTGTGTCAGAGGAGGATGCTGGGGAGTATGTGTGCATGGCCAACAATCACTTAGGCAGCGTACGCCACTCCATCTATGTCCAGGTGAAAGGTGAGGAGGTCAGGACTCTGTGTTGGTACAGATGCATGAACCTGTGAGTGGGTCCGTCACACTGACCTCCCTCCGTGTTCCACAGCGGCTCCTTACTGGCTGGACAAACCTACAGACCTGGTCCTGGCCCCGGACGAGAACGGGCGCCTGGTGTGTCGGGCCAATGGCAACCCTAAACCCAACATTCAGTGGCTGATCAACGGACAGCCTATAGACAGTAGGTGGAGCTGCCCGGGGGGGGGGGGGTTACCCTCAGTGGATCACAGCTGTTTATATCATCCACTCAGCCTGCATCTTATTTTATCGTCTTGTCCTGCAGCTCCATCATTCTTTCACTTCTGTCATATCTTTTCCCGCTCCTCTATTCTCCACCCTCTTACCCCCGACTGCAGGCGCTCCGCCCAACCTGAGCAGACAGGTGCTGGGTGACACCATCATCTTCCGCTCAGTGCAGATGGGAAGCAGTGCTGTTTATCAGTGCAACGCCTCCAACCAGCATGGCTATCTGCTGGCCAACGCCTTCGTCAGTGTTCTTGGTGAGACACGGACATCACTGTATGAATGTGAAATATCCTGTGACCTGATGAAGAGGTGAAGGTGTAATCCTCTGTCCCTCCCCCTGTAGACATGGCTCCGAGGATGCTGGGCCCTAAAACCCAGCTGATCAAAGTCGTCCGGAACAACCGCACCTTCCTGGATTGTCCGTTCTTCGGTTCCCCTCTGCCAGAGCTCCGTTGGTGAGCGTCATCCTACACTGATGTTTTCAGGCGAATCACCTGGTCAATGTCTTTATTTTACTTCCCATGTCCATTTGTTTTCTTTGCATACAGGTTTAAGAATGGACAGGGCAGCGGGCTGGACGGCGGTCACTACCGTGTATACATCAACGGCACCCTGGAGATCAAAAAAGCCCGAGCGGAAGACGAGGGCACCTACACCTGTGTAGCCCAAAACATCCTGGGTATGGCCAGCAAGCAGGTTGGCCTGGAGGTCAAAGGTCAGACATCACATCACTGCTGCACTCTGACTCATATGTGTCCTGCTCTGACTTGACATCCAAAGAGAACTAAAGTCATCATCATCATTATCTTTATCATCACTGCAGTTTCAGTCACTTTGTAACCAAGCAACATGACCTCATCACGAACAGCTGACAGCTCCTGCAGGGTCATCACTCTTTACATGTTTGTCTATTGCATGACATGAAATTATTACTTTCCCTTGTGCCAAACAGCTGCACTGTTGGATGATATGCAGACCTCTTGTGCCTTTTATTAAAGGAATAGCCAGTGATTCTGATCCAACACTCTGTGTCAGACTTAGTGAAAATGTTTGCATACAGGCTGGGCTGTAAATAGGAAACAAATTTGGACCGAGCTACTAAATACTAGTCCAGCACAGGACAGCCTGCTGGAGCCAGTTAAACTTTGACCTCAGCCTTTTCCTCTGCTTCTCCCTCCTCCACGTCCTCACCCACGAGGAAGGGAGCTCCTCCATGATAGTGATGGAACGTAAATGACATATGAGATATTAGAGGTGTAAAAATAGACATTAAGCCTCACATTATTTCACCTGCCTCTTTCCTTTAATGTGGTATTGCACCATAGCATAGTCTGAGCCAGTGCAACATACAAAAATCAGTACCATACATGTTTTTACCCTCCCTCTCTGTCAGGATTCCCACGGTCCTGGAAAACCTGGAAAACAGTTGACCAGAAAAAAGTCAAATGTCCTGGCAAATGATTTCCACATTCTCCTATTTTCAGGCAACATTTTGTTCAGGATCATGTTGAAGTTCAAATGGTCGGCTAGTTTATGAAATGAACAACAGTACTGGGTTTGTTTGGCAATGCTGTGGCGATTTCATTTACCTAGCACTTGCTCATGACAAAGTTCTTGTGATCAATTTTTCATAATTTCATAATCAATTAAGCATGTAAGGGATGACTTCATACATAAGTATAGCCAAGTATAGACTGCACTTATTTTAAATCAGACTTCCACAGACAGGAACATACTGCCCCCCCCCAGCAGCACAGGACTTTGTATTGTCTAAAAGGGGATTTGCTAATGCTCATTAGTTATGTATGGATGTGATTTGAAGTATAGTGCTCTCACCAGGTGGCAGATTCACATGCTTCAGGACAAAGCTTTTATACCAGTCCATGTCCTCACAGTGCAGCTCCACCATGTTGGTTATCCAACATGATTTCACCTCCCACTGATTTTCCTCTGTGCATCTCAGTGTGTGAGTTAATATAGTGTGTGTGTGTGTATGTGTGTGTGTGTATGTGTGTGTGTGTGCGTGTGTGTGTGCGTGTGTGTGTGTGTGTGTTCGTGTTCATCCTCACCAACTCCTCCAGAGCCGGTTCGTATAGTTCAAGTCCCCGAGCACCAGAAGGTCGTCAGGGGCGCTGTGGCTCATTTCGCCTGTAAGGTGGAGTCTGATCCCAGCCTGCCCGTCACCGTGGTCTGGACCAAGGACGACAAGCCTCTCTATTTGGGATGGAGGTAATGGACTTAACTTATCCAATCTACTACTGAATGTTAAATTTTAATTTAGAAGTTCTCCTGCTTTCACCGTTTACATACAGCAGAGCTTAAACTTCTCTCAGCTCTTACACTTCAACAGACACTTTCAGTGTTTCCATTCAACGGCTTCAACTTAACCTGCGAGTCCTGAACAACTTCGCTCATGCAAAGCAGTTCACATTTGAACCTGTAAAGCCTGTGCACTGTGTCTGCACTGGCAGTTTCAGATGGTCTCTGGTCTGTCATCAGTCTACATGCGATCCCCCATAATGACAAAGAAAAAAATGAATTTTAGACATTTTTTTCAAATTTATTAAAAAGTAAAAACTGAAATATCACATTGACCAAAGTGTTAAGAGACTTTACTATGGCTCTTGAAGTTTAGCTCAGGTTCCTCCGTTTCTCTGGATCATCTCTGAGATTTTTCTCCACCTTGATTGGAGTGGCCTGTGGTGGATTCAGCTGATTGGACATGATGTAGAAAGACAAACACCTGTCTATATCAGATCTCACAACTGACAAAGCAGGTCAGAGCATAAACCATGAGGAGGAAGGAGCGGCTGCAGAGCTCAGAGACAGGATTGTGTCGAATCTCTAAAACATTTCTGCTGCACTGAAGGTTCCTGAGAAGAACAGTAGCCTCCATCATTCTGACATGAAGAAGTCTGGAACAACCAGGACTACTAGAGCTGGACCTGGACTAACTGACACATTAGGGAAAAGGATCTAAGTAAGAGAGGAGACCAAAAGAAATGGAGGAACCTGAGCTCAATTTCAAGAGTCATACCAAAATGTCTGAATACTTCTGTCAATGTGGTATTTCAGGTTTTACTTCCTAATTGCAAAAATTTCTAAAGTTAGAACTTTGTCACTTTGTCATCATGAGGTACTGAGTGTAGACTGATGATGGAAAAAATGATTTTTAATTTTTTCATTTTAACATAAGAAAGGGTTAGTTTCAAGACTTTCATCTAAATACACGGACATGTCTTTATTTGACTTGTAGTGATTCTCACTGATCCTCTCAGAGTGTCTGTTTCTTGTCATAAGATTTAATATATATATAAGAGATAATAAAAATGTCTTTAAACAAAGTGTCTGGATTTTATGAGTCAGCTCTTAACAGAATAAGAGAAAACATTTGAATCTGCTGAAGTTTCTGTTGTTATTAAACTGCAGTAAATACAGTCAATAACTAATTTATACAGACATCAGTTTCAAAAGAGACAAAGTACAAACTAAAGAAGAAAAGGTTTGGAGGATGCTGTGCTGCTGTAACATCCACTCCTCTGTCTCCTCCTCTGTCTCCCAGGCTGAAGAAGGACGACGAGTCGCTCACCATCCCCAAAGTGAACGAGGGTGATGAGGGAACATACACCTGCACTGTTACATCTGAGATAGACCAGGACTCAGCCTCAGCCCGCCTCACTGTGTTAGGTACAGACAGAGCAGAGGAGTGTCGCCCCGTTACAACCATTCAAAATATCACTTGAGAATTCAGATGTACTAAAGTGTCAAATGTAAAAAGAATGTTTAATGTTGTTGTATCAGCCCCCTTGAGTTCTAATATTATACTCACCAAATAATCTACACACTGGATACAGGACTTCATTAATTAACAAATATAAATAAATAAATAAATAAATATATATCTATCTATATATATATATATATATATATATAATATATATTTACACACACACATATATATATATATACATATATATATATATGTATATATGTATATGAACCAGATGTACAGTCCGTTCATCACCATATAAATAATCACCAACAAAATATGTGCGAAATCTAAACATTACTTTGCTCCAAATGTTAGTGTAGTAGAATTTTCAACATATAAATATAAAGACTAGTAATACAAACAAAAAAATGATAAAGCCAGTGCTCATTAACACATAAAGCCCCTTTAAGGAGGTTTGGGCTACTACTGGTTTTCAACTTAATTTGTTGACTTTTAAAAACCTTTATGCTGCTTTTTTCATAAAAGCAGGTAGTAGAGACTTTGTGGACTTTGTGGACCTGATCTCCTCCCCTCCTCAGTGAAGAAGCTCTGATGTAGCTCTGGACTGACAGTGTTCAGTGGGTGGGACAGAGCAGCAGTTCATTCAGTCGACCAATCAGCAGCCAGACAAAGAAAGAAATGACTTAACTTTACTGTCAAAGTTTGATTTTGTCACGTTAACAACAGTGACTTGATTCCAGTGCTCTGTTCATGATACCTAAGTTACAGTCTGAGCAACAGTTGCAAAAAACAGTGCTTTTAATATTAGATTTAGATGCACATTCAGGTGCTGCTTGAAAAAATAGCTAATTATATATGCAGTTACAATCAGTTTAGTTTAATCTAATTATCTTTAGATTATAAATAATCTTGTATATATGTGCAGCTTTACAGAAAACTGTTGGCAACACTGACGGATGTCATTGCAAATCGTCCATTGGTTGTTTAAGGCAAGGCAAGTTTGTTTATACAGCACCATTCAGACACATTTTAGTGCTTTACAGAGGCTGGAAATACATTAAAAGATGGTAGTCATCAAAATAGCACAAAAACTATAAAAACTAATTTGAATAGATACAAAGTTTAAACAAGTCATATCAAGATTACATAAAATCATTCTATCCTCAATTTTAAAGTGCTGCAGTGATAAAAGACATTTAAACAAAGCAAATGCACGTGATGAAAAATATGTTATGTCTGTGATTTATCGGTGAGCTGCAGTAAACAGTGATGATTTAAGCCCTGATCTAACTGAGCTGACAGTTTCAGCAGATCTCACGTGTTCATGTCTGGCTCATGTGTTACTGAAAGTATGAAAACAAACAGATTAAGATTGAATATACAAAATAATTTGCAAATAAAAATGCGCAGTTTTTAAAGCCAGATTAGTCCCAATGATAATAATAATTTTTCACATTTTAAATATAAAGTGAAAACCCTGAAGAGAAAGAGCAGTTCTTCAGTTGTCAGACACATTCAGACAAACTGTTTCTTTCCTGTAGAAAGTTTTCTCTTGACACTGTTTTTCAGCTCTGTGCCTTCAGGTGAAATCAAGCATGTTTTATGTTTTTAAAGCTTAGCTTTAGTACCTGTAATGATGTGTAGGAAAGTGCTATGATGAAGCCGTGCAGTAGACTCTGTCTGTGTGATCATGTGATACTTTTGCATTGATGACAATGAGTCACAGAAATACACTGTAAAAATCAAAATGATAATTCAGATTCAAATTCAGCTAATTTGGATTGAAAGACAGTGACACAGCCTGAGAGATGGCTCAGATTTGTGTGTCACTGTTCGCCTGAAGAATTCATAAAGAAAAATGCTGGATTTCCTGTGAGCTCAGCTGCTGGGCTCTCAGAGTCCAGAGAACTGGTTTACTCTTGTGACTCAGACGTTGGCTGCATGATGAAGTGACAGTGTGATCTTAATGACATGTTAACGGTTGTGCTCCCTTGCTGTTGATTAGTGGACTAACCTGCAGACTCTAACCTTTATACCCACTTCCTGGTCCTTGACCACGCCCCACAGAGGAAGCCTCCCTCAACCCCTCAGTCTCTAGTGCCTTGCCTCCAGGTAACACACAGCTTGGGTGGAAATCTCTTTCTCTCCCTCTTCTGTTTATTTCCTCTTCTTATGGTCTCATTTTTTCTGTCTGAACTTGTGCCTCTGTTATATTAGAATAGTTATTATATTAAAAACAGATCTTCCTTTATTATGTGCCAAAGATAATTTCTCTCCATGTGTGTAAGAAATTGGCTTTTTATGTGTATGCACTACGATCCATCCTGTCAAATCATTTCATCTCATTAAATCTGAAAATGTCTGTTCCCAGTTTGGGACAGTAGTTCCAGTCGTTCAAGTTGTTTCAGTATTTGATATAAGTATAATGGTCTGAAATATTCCCACTGAACTGGAGGAGATTTGCATTTATATGTTCAGGAAATGACACCATGCAGCATGAGTGACAAGTGTTTTGCAGCATGCATGTGTCTGCTTGTATGTGTTTGCCTCGTCTAAGGTCGGGTCACTCCTTGTCTCTCTGCAGATCGTCCAGACTCTCCCATGGATCTGGATCTGTCGGACCCAGCAGCCCGCAGTGTCCGCCTCACCTGGATCCCCGGAAATGACCACAGGAGCCCCGTCGAAGGTCAGCGTGCACACTGTCCTCTCCTGGACATCCTGCCTTTTATTTTCACATTTCTCAAACATTTGTCAGAAGTGCAGCTTCCACATATCTCACATGTAGGTGAAGTGCATCCTGTGGGCACAGTATGTGAGTGAAGGAGAGCAGGAAATAGGTGACATGCTAGCGTTTGTCTCAGGACAGTAATTATGAGGTACAGATGCTGAAATGGAAAAAGAAATGAGATAAATTCTAATTAAGGTCGTAGTTATAATGATTCAGGGACCTTTTCCTAATGAAATAATACATATATAATATTATCTGCATAAGGCCTTTAAATATATCTCCAGATATGTGGTCTTCCTTTTCTCAAGCCTGATGTGTGTTTCTCTGCAGATTTCTTGGTCCAGTTTGAGGAGGACCGCTGGGAGCCAGGCAGGTGGCAGAACTTGTCCTCTTACCCAGGGGACCTCAACTCTGTCGTCCTGCAGCTCGCCCCCTTCGTAAACTACCAGTTCAGGGTCATCGCAATCAACTCAGTGGGCCCGAGTCAGCCCAGCAGCCCGTCGCCACGATACAAGACCAGCGGAGCAGGTGAGTAGCACCTGTAGTAATGTAGTTTACCTGTCTCCTGCTTATAGCAGACACACATTAGAAAGCTTCAGGTCATGAATCTGCTCATGTGGACGTGTTGTTTGTCAGAGTTGATGTTTGTTCTCAGTGGATTGTGTTTTGTTTAAAGCCCCAGATGCCATTCCCAGAGGGCTGCGGGGGTGGGGCTCCAAGAAGGACAACATGGAGATCACCTGGGAGGTAAGACGAGACAGGGAATGACTGTGTACTGAACACATACTGTACATATCATTACATGTAGCAAGATCACTTTTTTTGTTCTCAGAAGAAGACAACATGAGAAAACAATACAATGTATGTGAATAAATAAATTCTGTCTGAAGAAAATCACTGAGATAAAAGTTTAAATATATAAGATCAAAATGTAATAATGGATCAAAATCATCATAATATGGTTCAGTAGAGTACTACCAGTCATGCAGTCAGTGTCGCAGGCTTTTAACTGCTTGGACAAATCATCATTATAGAGATTAAAAGGTCTGGAGACACTCGGGGTCATGGCCCATGGTTTAGTGGCTTAAGCATGATACTCACTACACACTTACTCCAGCCAGACCTGATGTTATGCTACAAAGCACTTACAGTATCATTTTACATGGAGCAGATATCTCCTTACAGTTAGCATCACTGCACGTCACCACACCTCTAGGTAGATGAATATTACTAATGGATTTATCAGTATGAGGGTAACAGGCTGGGACGTCTTCCTGTGTGAGGGTTGATCAGGCCAGTGCTTCTGTGTTGGATTGCACAGGTATATGCTCAGACACACTCACACAGACTGCTCACACACCCCTATGAAGCAAGCACATTAACTGTGCTAATACAATAATACATTCTCAGAGCACTTTTTATGCGAATGATAACGATCAAACACTCTGAAAGCAGAGGGAGATCAACTTTTCTCTTTTGTTTGATCATTTATCAATTCACCATCTCTTTTCTTCTAATTCTTCCTGTTGCTAAACAGCGTGCCACTTTGATATGATGAACAATGAAAGGGATTTTTAAACATTATTAATGTTTTTAAAGATCATTTCATTTTAAAACTTTTAAAAACAACATTTATATAAATATTTTTTATACATAATTTCAACCTTTCACAAAATTGTCCTGTTTTGCAAATGATTTGTTGGCCCACTTGCAACATCTCTGCGGCCCACTATGTCAGTGGTTTCCAAAGTGTGCGAGGCCTCATGAATATAAGTGGAACTATCTGTGTGTGTGGGTGAATGTGACTTCCATTGTAAAGCACTTTGAGTGGTCAGTAAGAATAAAGTGCAGTCCATTACCATTGTCCTGACAGAATGGAGCCATGTGATTAACCAATTGTGAGATATCCCAATGACATATACACTATGATCACTGCCACTAGAAGGTATAAACTCTTTATATCAATCTTATGCCATTTCTGTGTAGTAAAACAAATAAATAACAAATATTATGCTTAGTTACGCCCCAAAGAAAATCCTTTGTGGAATAACGTATGTATGAAAACCAATCAAAACAAGCCCCTCAAATTTGCCTCTTGGGGAACTTTGCCAAACCTCAGGAAGTATCAGCACTGATACATTCTGCCAACTGGAATGTGAATTGCAGACATTAATAATTCAGTACCTCAGAAAGAGATCACACTACTGGTCGAGAAATAACTAAAATTTTTAATTAGACTTCACTTTCATTGATGAGATAAAAACATTCCTCTCAGTGAAATTCATTGTGAATACTGACTGTACTGTGACTAATTTATCTGCTCTCAAATTTATCACATACCAAAATACAATAATACATTACCAAAGGGCTGCAGAGATAACACATAACACAATGACTGGTGACTGGCTGGTCACCTCAGGAGCTGGGCAGTGAGCTGTTGAGACAAATTTCCAATGAGGTATTATTTGGATAAACTGAAAATAGTTTCAGCTCTGAGCCTGGCTCAGAATCCCTGCCATAGTTGCTATTTGGTTTGAAATGCATTCTGGGAAACTTAGCTGTTCGAAGTCCACACATGTCATGTACTGATGCATCCTAGATAAAACACTTCCTGATATTTGATCTGTACTTGGGTAGATGTTGACTTTGAATTGGAACAGACTGATGACGTTTCACAAGAACACAAGATCACAAGAACAGAGAAGAATGAAGACTGAGAAGCAGCTGTTGTCTTTCTTTTCAAAGTAGCGGGCAGTGTAGCCTACTCTTTTTCTGGCAACAAGGAAGGACACTGATCAATTTTTTGCAGATATTATGTGTCTTTTGCCGATAATCAAATTGTTTCTTTAACATGAGAGTCTTAACTTAATTTAGTAAAGTTTCAGAAATGCACATTCATTTTAATGCTTTCAAAACACAACCCTTACTCAGTGTCCTTTGTAGTGGACAGCAGGACATACTAACTCCTGTGTTGAAGCAATTTCCACTTCAGGGCTGAGTGAGGGAGTCAGGGGATGAGGTGGAGGAGGGACAGACAGTAGAGCAGGAAGGTGAAGGCTCAGAGTAGAACATATCAGCTTTAGAGCAGCCTGAGCATGGGGACAAAGTGACGACACCCACCGTCCATCATGCTTAATAAGGAATGTGAAAGCTAAGACCTTAAAGTTTATTGGTATCTCAGTGTCTAGAAAGTCTTGTTAACTCCAGGTCTGCGTCTCAGAGGGGATCTAGAATCAGCATCTACATTTCAGTCAATGTGTGCTTGCAGTGAACGCCTTCTGTTTTGTCCTCCAGCCTCTGCTTGATCTGGAGAGAAATGGCCCAAACCTGTACTACAATGTCTGGTGGAGGCAGAAGGATATGGGGGAAGAGTGGAGTAACGCGACCACACTGGAGTCCAAATATATCGTCCCCAACACAGACACCTATGTGCCCTATGAGATCAAAATCCAGGCCAGAAATGAGTTTGGATCAGGACCTGAGTCTAATGTGGTGATCGGATACTCCGGAGAGGACAGTGAGTTGATTCACAGCAGGTACCATGTTTCTGAAAGACACCAACCCCTTTCTGATGTTTCACACACTCTGCGTCTCTTTTCATTTGTTCAGATCCCACTGAGGCTGCCACTGACCTGCGGGTGTCAAAGGTCGGGAGCATCAAAGCGACCATCCACTGGAAGGCTGTGGACCCCAGCTCTGTCCAGGGAGAGTTCAAAGAGTTCAGAGTGAGTCACGTGTTCTTTTCCTCCTCCACTCTCTCCTCTTTAATCTCCTCCTCATACCCATCAACCCCTTTCTTCTTCTCCTCCCTCCCAGCTGTACTACTGGCGTGAGTCCAGTCTGGTCCCGGGTCTGGTGGTCAGTAAGGAGAAGAAGACCAAAGGTTTCTACAGCACCTTGGCTGAGCCGTCCGGGATCCTCAGTGACCTGGTGCCCTTTTCCAAATACAAGATGTTTATGGTTGTGGCCAACAGCCGCTTTGAGGGTCCGCCCAGCAACACAGTGGAGTTCACCACCAAGGAGGGAGGTGAGGATGGAGATGTCATGTAGTTTCTGAGCAGGTAGCATGTTTCCAGTTTCTAAAGGGACATTTTGAATCCAGTATGTTTGCATCCCACCTGCTGCCATCATTGTGACTTCAGTCCAGATTTAAGGCAAAAGTGTGTAAAGCTGGATGGAGTGGAAAGGGATAAACAAGTTCTTAGTAACTGTGAAATGTGATAATGTCAGCAGGACAAGACAACAGTATCTTGTAAGGAAAAAACATTGACTTTCCATCTTGAGAAATATTTTGGCACAACGGGAGTGGATGTCTATGGAATCTGAGATCTTATTGAGCCAGCATGGCCGACAGTGACACTGCATTGTAAAACCTCTGGTTTCTTCTCTTTATGTTTGTGTGTGTGTCTGTGTGTGTGTGTGTGTGTGTGTGTGTGTGTGTGTGTGCGTGTGTGTGTGTGTGTGTGTGTGTAGTCCCCGATGCTCCAAGGTTCTTCAGGATCAACCGGAGGAGTTTCGACACCCTCTACCTGGAATGGGACAAACCTCTGGAGCCCAATGGCATTCTGATTGGATACCAGCTCAAGTATCAAACAGGTGAGCTGCTCTGCTCTGCTCTAGCTTGGTCAGGGTTGTCTGGTCGGGGGTTAGGAGGTTAGTTTATACATTTTCACATCATTTTGGATCATTATTATAATATCAGTGTTGTTGTTGTTCACTGTACCCTGAGTTGTCAGTCCATCCATCCCATTCTTGTGGACACAATATCTCAGTAACATTTCAAATTTGGTACAAACATTAGGACTAGGACTCAAGGATGAACAGATTTGGTTTTGAAGGTCAAAGGTTAGTGTGACCTCACAACACACTTTTTAGCCATTATTTGACTTCACACAGCAATTATGACCAAATTTCACACAAATGGTTCATATTTTCTATGACTCTGGACAAACAGGGATGTAACCTGGAACTAGTCTGAGTGGAGGAGGGATTTAACCCAGAGGCGGTAATTCTAGTTTTTTTTTTTTAAATTCCTTTATTGGTGACTTAACATAACAAAAACAGGTGTGACATGAAGGGTACATAGGACATAATGGAGGGACATGTAGATGACAGCAAAAAGCCAAAACATTTATAGAAACGTAAGCATGATAAGAATATGATGTGTATTGTGCGAGTAATGTGTGTATGTGTGTGTGTGTGTTTCGATGTTTTAAAGGGAGGTAATCATATGTATGTTATGTATATGTGTATGTGTGTGTGTTATGGGGCAGAGAAAGTGGCATGTATAATGGAAATGTATGATGTAACCTGAATATATTTGTAGAAAGAATGTAGTAGTAATAATGATAATAATAATAATAATAATAATAATAATAATAAAATATAATCATTTCTATGATATCCTGTCAATGTAATAGTGATATATCTTACAACAAAAAATATGATAATAGTGCAGTGGTATTATGACAATATAATATATATCATTATATTACATAATGATATATATTATATTATGATAGCATTATGATACTGTACATCTGATAGCAAGCTGGCACTGTGTGTGTGTGTGTGTGTGTGTGTGTGTGTGTGTGTGTGT